ATAGAGGTTGGACCATTTTGCAATCCCACCAGCAATGCAAGAGTGTCCCAGTCTCTCCACATCCCCACCAGCATTTATTGTCTTCATTTTTCATCGTTGCTGTTATTTTTGGTGTGTCTAATGCTTTTTAATGCAGCTTTCTCCAGTTATCTGAACTTTCTTTCTGTCTTTCAGGTGATGGAAGCTGTTTCATTGTCCAGCAAGATTTAGACTATGTCATTGAGCTCACCGGGGCTGACTGTGAGCCTGTATACAAGGTACAGACCTGAGAGGACTCTCAGCTTGGTGATTCTCACCCAAGATCTAAGGCTTTAAGGGGGTGGAATCTGGCTAAATTTTAGTCACTAGGGGTGATGATTTTTTATTAACAATGGTGAAATGGAAAGAAATCAGGATTTTAAGTTAAGAGTGACTTCATCACTTACTGACTTTAGAAATCTGAAAGTCACTTTGCCTCTTCAGTTCATCAGTTCATCTATAAAATTAAGATAATACACATAATTAGATAATGCATATGAAAGTTATTTGTAAATTTAAGGTATTCTGTAATCGTTGTTAGGTACGTCAAGTCAATTCTGACTCAGTATAACAAAACACTGCCCAGTCCTGCTCCATCCTCATAATTGTTGCAGCTGCCCTGTCAGTTATCTCGCAAACTATCTTCCTCTTTTCTCTGAACCTCTCCTTTACAATCATGATACACATTTCCATGAACTGCCCACTCCTGATAACATGTCCAAAATATGGGAGACAAATGCTTCTAAGGAGCATTCTGGTTATACTTCTTCCAAGATAGATTTGTTTGTTCTTCTGGCAATCCATGGAATATTTAATACTCTTTGCCAACACTGTAGCTCAAAGGCATAAACTTTACTTCATTGTTTCTTAATTTATTGTGCAACTTGCATATACATCTGAGGTCACTGAAAATTCCGTAGCTTGGGTCAGGCACACCTTAGTCCTCAAAGTGACTGCTTTTTTTAGAACCTTAAAGAGATCTTTTACACTACACCCATGCCACCTTGAGTATGCCCAGTCTTCTCTAAAGAGATCTTTTGCAGCAGATTTGCCCAATACAACATGCCATTTTGGCTTCTGACTGTGGGCATTGATTGTGGATCCAAGTAAAATGCAATCCTAGACAACTTCAGTCTTCTCCATTTATCATAATGCTGCTTATTGATACAGTTGTGAGGATTTTTGCTTTATTTTGAGGTGTGTGATTCTTACTGAGGGCTATAGTCTGATCTTCATCAGTAAGTATTTCAAGTCATTTTAGGTTCAATAAGCAAGTTTATGTCATTTGCATATTGCAGATTGTAGGTGAGTTTCCCTCCAATCCTGATGCTACAGCCTTCTTCATATAGTCTAGCTTTCATATTTTTCTTATTCTCAGAGATTTGCTGTTTAACTCTTTAACACCATCATTTCTTCCTATGTTTCTCCTCTATGTTCAAAAGTAAGTTTCTGAGTCTCTTCTGGCATTCATTTTGCTCAGCATACAAATTAAGTAAGTGATATAACCCTGACACACACCTTTCTTGATTTTAAACCACATAGTACTTCCCTGTTCTGTTCAAACAACTGCCTCTTGGCATATGTGCAGTTTCCACATGAGCACAATTAAGTGTTCTGGAATACTAATTCCTTGCAATTTTATCCATAATTTGTTGTGATCTAAACAGTTGAGTACCTTTACATAGTCAGTAAAACACAGTTAAACATCTGGTATTGTCTGCTTTCAACCACTATCCATTGGACATCAGTGATATACCTCATTCCATATCTGCTTAGGATTCCAGTGGATTTGAATTTCTGGTATTGCCCTGTCAGTATATTGCTGCAACTGCTTTTGATTTATCTTCAGGAAAATTTTACTTTTTTGTAATATTAATGATATCATTAGCTATTTCCTCATTCTTTTTGGAGTAGGCACAGATACGACTCTTCCAGTTGGTTGGCCCAGTAGCCATCTTCTAAATTTCTTGGCATAAGTGGGTGAGCACTTCCAGCACTGAATCTGTATGTTAAAACATCTCAATTGATATTCCATCAATTAACTCCTAGAGCCTTGTTTTTCACTGATGCTTTCTGGGCAGATTGGGATTTCTTCCTGAAATGCTTGAATGTTGACTAGTTCTTTTTGGTACAGTCGACTGTATATTCCTTCCGTCTTCTTTCTATGCTTTCTGCAATGTTCAGTATTTGCCCTGTTGTTGAGTTCTGATCATAGCAACCCCCTGTAGGATTTCTGAGGAGCAACTGATGATTTTTGAACCTCTGACCTTGCTGTTAGCTGTCTAGTGCTTATCCTATAGCGTCACATTAGGACTCCATTTTGCACTTAGAATTCTTCAATATTGCAATTCAATGTTGATTATTTTCTTCAGTTTTTTCAGTTTGAGAAAGGCCAAGCATGTTCTTTCCTTTTGGTTTTCGAACTCAAGACCTTTGAATGTTTTGTTATATATAATACATTACTTTGTTATCTTAACTGCCTTTTTCTATTCTCCTCTTTAATTCCATCATTTCTTCTTTACGTTTTATCTATTTGCTATTTTTACCTTACGTTTTAGCTATTTGCTATTTTTAAGAGCAAGTTGCAGAATTTCTTCTGACATCCATTTTGGTCTTTTTCTTTCTTTTCTGTCTTTTTAATGACTTTTTGCTTTCTTCGTGTGTGATGTTCTTGATGTCATCCCACAGCTTGTGTGGTTTTCAGTCATTGATGTTGAATGCATCAAACCTATTCTTGAGATGGTCTCTGAATTCAGGAAGGATGTTGTCAAGATGAAGAGAAACAGCTGTAAACATCCATTAATAATCGGAACATGGAATGTACAAAGTGTGAATTTAGGAAAATTGGAAATTATAAAAAATGAAATGGAACACATAAACATCGATATCTTAGGCATGAGTAAACTGAAATGGACTGGTATTGGCCATTTTGAATCTGACAACCACATGGTTTACTATGCCGGGAATGACAAATTGAAGAGGAATGGTGTTGCACTCAGTAGCACCTAACAACAACAGTTGTTAAGATCATACTTTGCCTCTCATGGACTTTACATTTTCTTTAACTTCAATTTGAATGAACTTGTACATGTGCAATTTGTGGTCTGCTCTGCAGTTGGCCCTGGCCTTGTTGTGATTGATACTATTGAGCTTTTCCATCATTTCTTTCCACAGATGTAGTCATATGTATTCCATCCATTAGTTCCACATGTAGAGGCATAGTTTATGTTGCTGACAAAAAGGATATGCATTTAAGAAGTTGTTGGTCTTGCAAAATTCTGTCATATGACCTCTGGTGTCATTTTTATCACCAAGACCATATTTTCCAGCTACTGATTCTTCTTTGTTTAAAACTTTTGCATTTCAAGCACCAGAATCTTATCTATGCATTTTGATTGCATGTTTGATCAATTTCAGACTGTAAAGTTGGGAAAAATCTTTAATTTCTTCATCTTTGATGTTAGAGGTTGGTGCATAAATAAAATAATAGTCATATTAACTGAGCTTGCTTATAAATGTATGGACATTATCCTATCACTGACGATGTTGCTCTTGAGGTTGAATTTTAAATTGTTCTTTTGGATGATGAATGCAACGCCATTCTCTTTTAAATTGTCATTCCTGGAATAGTAGACTATATGGTGGTCTGATTCCGAATGACTAATGCCAGTCCATTATAGTTTACTAATGCCTAGGATATTGATATTTATGCATTCCATTTAATTTTTGATGACTTCCAGTTCTCCTAGATTCATGCTTCATACATTTCACATTGTGATTATCAATGGGTATTTGTAGCAGTTTCTTTTCGTTTTTAGTTGCACCACGTTAGCAAACGGAGGCTCCAAAAGGTTTACTCCATCCATACCATAAAAGTTGACTCTATTCAACTCTGCTTTGAGGACGCAGCTTTCACCCAATAGTATTTTGAGGGACTCATTTTCCAGCACTATATCAGATGGTGTTCCACTGCTATTCATAAGGTTTTCACTAGCCTTTTTTTTTTTTACAAGTAAATCTCCAGGTCTTTCTTCCTAGTCTTACTCTGGAAGCTCAGTTAAAACCTGTTCACCAAGGGTAACCTTGATGTTATTTGAAATGAAGGTGACATAGCTTCCAGCATCACAGAAACAAGCCACCACAATATGACAAATTGACAGATGGGTTGTTGTTGTTAAGTGCCGTCAAGTCGGTTCTCACCCATAGCGACCCTGAACAGGGTTTCCGAGTCTGTAAATCTTTATGGGAGCAGATAGCCTCATCTTTCTCCTGCGGAACCGCTGGTAGTTTTGAACTCCAGACCTTGTGGTTTGTAGCCCAATTCGTAACCACTATGCTACCAGCGCTCCTTGACAGATGGATGGTAGCCTATAAATATTGTCATTATTATTTGAAGTTCAAGATTGATTTGATTTGCTCATTTAATTAGAATGGAAAGTAAATAATGAATGGGGAAGTATATATTAACCAGATATCATGGTGGATATTTTGCTTATCTTAACTCATTTAATCTTTGTTATAATTTCTTGAGATGTCCCAAACCAAATGACCCACTGCCATCAAGTCATTTCTGACTCATAGAGACTTTGTAGGATGAGTAGAACTGTTCCTTAGCGTCTCCAAAGCTGTAAATCTGTATGGGAGCTGACAGCCTCATCTTTCTCTCATATAGCAGCAGCTGGTAGGTTGGAACCACTGACCTTGTGGTTTGCAGTCCAATGCTTAACCCAATATACTACAGGAGTTCCTTTCTTGAGGTATAAAACCCAAGAAAAACAACCCACTGCCATCAGGTTGATTGCAACTCATTGAGGGTTTTCTGACACTAGATCTTTAACAGAATCAGACAGCCTCATCTTTCTCCCAAGGAGCAGCTAGCTGCTGTGTTTGAACTTCCAGCCTTGTGTTTAGCAGCCCAATGCCGAACCCACAGCACCACCAGGACCATTATTCCTATTTTTCTTACTTCCTACAAAGCTGCACAATTAATACATGCTTATAAATTCAGATAATACAGAAGTTTACAAAGTCTCCTTTAAAACCTCTTTAATTATACTCTTTCAAACAGTAACTAATATGAACAGTTTAGCACAGTTTTCAAGGCTGTTTTCAGAGAATGAAATACATATTGGTGTTTAGTTTCTTATGTACATAGTAAAGTTTTATCTTTGCACATAATTGAGATCATTCTATATGTATATTACCCTATGATTCTTTTGTTTTTGTTTTCACATCTTAGAACTCTATTTGAATAAATGTATATAGAGCCACTACACACACACGTATATTAATTCCTGCATATTGTTCTACATTGGGAATTAACATATTTTACAAATAAGAAGACTGGGGCCCAGAAATGTTAAGAATGTTGCCTTAGATTATGCAAACATGTAGTATTAAACCTGAGATTAGTTCGCTCTAAAATTCGTTCTATTTCCATAAAGTTACTGGTTGTTAACTTTCTTTGAATCTCAGACTTCTTAGAGAATGTGATAATACCCTTCTAAGAAAAAAAAGACACATATTAGGAACTTTCTTAATACAATTTTGAGTTTCAGGGGTACCTAAGTCCATTTGTAGGCACCTCCTTCCCAGGTTCACACCCCCTGCACTATATCATGTGCAGCACTTAACGTATTTGTACTCATCCCTTAGGCCAGTTATGTTCTCTATTCTGTAGTTCTGCAGGCACCCTTGGCCCTGCAAACATTTTATAAATATCAGGTAACTTCAAAAAGTTCATGAAAAAATTCCATAATCTTTTGTTTTTTCCATGATATTTTTTAAGTCCCCGCATATATATTACTGATAACATTCTTCATCTCCTGCCTTCAGAGTCTATAAAGTTTCACAGGCTCTCTTGGACTAGTGGGGGACTCTAACAAAGCTCTAAATTTCTGAAGAATCCCAGGTTTCTTATAACTGTGAACTCTTGTGTTCCAGGTAGCCACATGGGAGAAGCAGATCTATACCTCTTGTCGTGATGGTCTTGTGCGACGCTATCAGCTTTCTGACCTCTGACCTGTTGGAAAGACAAGTTCCCAGGTAGTGGAAAGAATGGTCTTGATCAGCAATGGGCAGAAACATCATGGATCCTTCCTGAGGATCCTAGCCATTCATTTATTGACTTGGGCTCCCCTGGAAGTCACAGATGTTCAGCACCCACCCCTAGTCCATGAGGAGACTTCTTTGAACTGAGTAAGAAGCTCACACGTGCTCACTGCATTTACCCCAAGTTCTCCTGGTGTAAACTGACACCATCAACACAGGGCAAGGATATGGGTTGGTTCTCACAACAATTGTGTATATGTTTATAAGGGTCAGATGACTAAAGCCTGTTCTCTGAAGGAAATAAAGGAAATCTGTTTAGAGGGACCTGAATTTGAAAAATTCTGTTAAACCATCTCATTCCAGCAAAAATTCTGCAACAACATCATATTCAATGCTCACAACATTCTTAAAAACTAAATGGCATTATTCCTGTTTTACACATTAGGAAATCTGAGACTTAAAAATCTAGGTATCAGAGAATGCTATAATTTAGATGTCAGTGTCTTCAAAGCCTTTGTATCTTCCATTACACCATGTAGAGGTCACAAGATATCTTTGTGGCTAGAGCAATTTCACCTTGAGGAGCGTTTTGTGATGTGGTCAGGTAAACGGATCTATTCCCAGTTACTGAATCATTGAATCCTAAAAGGTCAAGGAAGAACCTTGTGAGTTCACACAGCAAGTGAATGTCAGGGCTCACTCTTCTACTTTGCTGTCACATTCTTGGAGCCCCTCTTCGTAGGTCTCAGAGTTGATAGCCTGGTTATGATGCAGTGACCTTTACAGCTGCCCTGAAATCTAAACCCAGTTAAGAACAGAGGCCAGCCCTCAGGTGTCTGGTAGTTTTGTCTGCTAAGAATGGGAGCAGCCCCAGTTTGCAGCAGACAAGGCTTGTTTGTTCTTCAGTAAGAATGCATTTCGGTTAAAGGGGGGAAGGGCAACCTCCATACTCTGGTCATTGCGCCCTGGTGTAGCTCTTTGCTAGATTTTGTTTCTTGGCTTTCAGATGCCCCCTTGTGGCATTTGATGAGAAGTACCTGTCTCTGACCGGAAAGCTGTGGTGTGTGCAGAGACAGTCCTCAATATACCCTTGCGAGACAATCATTTTTCTTTTTTTCTTGAACAAGTGTTTTTGTAGATATATTTTTTCTATTTCATCTTTTATATGAGAGATTTTAAACTTACTGAAAAAGTTGCAAGACTATTACAAAGAATCCTTATATATATGAAGAAACACATAAACCCACTGCTATCAAATTGATTCCGACTTATAGTGATCCTGTGTAAGATTACCAAAGATGTAAATCTATATGGTAGCAGAAATCCTCATCTTTCCTCCTGTGTGGTGGTTGGCAGGTTGCATATAGCAACTGCTGGTGTTGCATATAGCAGTCCAATCCCTGTATATGTCCAGCCAGCAGATCTCCTAATTGTTAACATTTTTATTATGTTTGTTTTATCATTCTGTCTCTACATACATATAACACACACACACATATATAGATAGTTTATGTATGTTACGATGTTATTGTTAATTGCTGTCAAGTTGGTTCCAAATTATAGCAACCTGATATAAGGTTTCTGAAGCTTTGCAGGAGCAGAAAGCCTTATCTTTCTCCTGCGGAACAGCTGGTAGGCTCAAACCACTCACTTTGTGGTTTGCAGTTCAATGTTTATCCTTTAGAGGCACCATGTTGTATGTATGCTATATATATATTTTTTTTTCCTTTAATCACAAAGTAATCTGTAAACACTATTCTTTTACCCTTAAAACACTTGCACATTAAAAAAAACAAAACAAAAAAAAAACACTTGTACATTTACTAAAACAAGAACATTCTTTCACATAACCACAGTGCATCAAAACAAGGAAATCAACACTGGGTCTCATAATCTGCAGAACCCATTCAGGTTTTACTGATTGCCTCATAATCTTCTGTCTCCTATAGTCCACCTCTCCTTTGTGACCCAGGATCTAATCCAGAACCACACACCACACTTAGTTGCCTCCTCTCTTTAGCTGCCCTCTGTTTGTTTCTCAGTTTTTATTTGTTCTGTTTGACCTTGACATTTTGAAGAGTGTACAAAAATATGTGTAAGGACTCCTACTTTGGGTTTATCTGATGTTTCCTCATGACTAGATACAGGTTATGCATTTTGACAAGAATACCCAGAAGTGATTCTGTGTCCACATGTTGGGAGGCACACAATATCAATTTGTCCCATTACTGGTGATGTTAAATTTTTTTTTTTGAGCTATAGTTTTCATGTAATAAAATTCAGCCTTTTAAAGTGTACAATTCAGTGGGGTTTGATAAATTCACAAAATTGTGCAACTATCACCACGATTTTATTTCAGAACAGTTTCACTACCCAAAAAGACATACAATAAGCAGCCATTCTTCGTTTCCCTCTCTTCCCATTGCCTAGCAACCCACTAATCTACTTTATAGATTTGCCTTGTTTGCCATTTCATATTATAAACCTATAATACGTGAATGAGGTCTTTTGTGTCTGTCTTGTTTCACTTAGCATGATGTTTCTGAGTTTCGTCTATGTATCAGTATTTCATTTTTTGTATCCCCAGATAGATTGTATGGATATACCATATGTTATGTATCTATTCACCAGCTGATGGATATTTGGGTTGTTTCTACCTTTTAGCTATTATGGATAATGCTGCCATGAATATTCACACATAAGTTTATATGAACATATGTTTTCAGTTCTCTTGCAATGAAATTGCTGGATCATCTGGTAATGCTATACTTAACAATTTGAGGAGCTACCAAACTGCTTTACCAGTATGGCTGTATCATTTTACATTCCCATCAATAGTGTATGAGGGTTTTAATTTCTCCATGTCTTTGACTAAATTTTGTCCATGTTATCATTTGGCTGAAGTGGCATCTGCCATGTTTTTACAAAGCAAAGCTCATAAGTAGTATTTTGTAGTGAGCTATCTTGTTGCTGCTGTTCTTACTGTCAAGTCAATTCCGACTTAATGGTAACCCAAAATTTACAAAGTAGATCTGCTCCATATTGATGCCTTTCAGTTGTGGTGTTGGA